CAAAGTTTATGTTTTGGCTCTCTGCATGTTTTGCTTCAACCAGTGGATATTCGAGGCTCACCGCTTGGTGATTTCAACTTCTGCCTCAGCAATTAAGGATTAATCTGAATTCCAGAAAAGCTTTTGATAAAAATGTAATGTGAACGAGTCCGTTGGTACCCGATGGCGATAAGACCGTTGACGCCTTGGATATTAGGCGACCCATAGCACTGTTTGGGTCATTTGCATTGCAGTATGGTCACGTGCAGATAGCCTTCTGTTTACATCCTTCTCCTTCACGTGCCGTGATCACCAATCGCTTCATCCCCATCCTATACCTTTAATTGTTTTAAACCAGGTATACAATCGCAAACATAAGAATCTCTCCCTTGATAACCTCGCGAGTGACAAGCCAACAAAGAATGGGCATCGACAGCACTGCCGAAGACGTAAGCTCCTCCTCCCCCCCCCTTCCCTCCGCGCGGAACCTACCCAATTGCCCCAGAAACGCAAACTGAAGATTTGCTTGCCCCCCTGTCAACATCAACATCAATACACACAAACCACTAATCCCCCACAATTCAGTACAACCTAAGTCTGCACACCCTCTCCCTCGAGAGAGAATATGACCAGACCGTGAGTACCGCGGCGCAGCTCCTCGACCAGGAAGCTCGCCGCGTCCACCGAGTGGACCAGTTGTTGCTGCAGTTCGAAAATGAGAACCTGCAGCAGCAGCTGGACCAGGCGCGCCAGGAGATCGGGCGGGTGCGCTCCGCCGAGCTGGAGATTCTGGGGAGGTTGAACCAAGTCGCGCTGGAGCGAGACCGCATCCAGCAGACGGTGTATGTGCTCGGGCATGAGAAGGAGAATCTTGCTGTAAGTTTTGCGTTCTTCCTGCTGCTTTGTTGTTATTGGTGGGGGTCTGGGGAAAGGGCTGGAGGAGCGAAGGTCGATTTTACTACTTGTTGTTGTGGTTGTCTGGTGCTTGGTTGGTTTTGTTCGTGTCAAGGCATTTACTGAAGTTACGAGCAGCGAGAGCTGGAATCCATGTCCGACAACTCCGTCGAGGTGAAGACCCTGATGACGGAGAAGATGCGGCTAGCCAAGGAGTTGGCCGGGGTGCAGACCGAGGTGCAGCGGTTGCAGGCGGTGGAGAGCTCGTCACAGACTCTCCTGGCGGAGAAGCAGGCGCTCTCACGGCAGTTGAGTACGCTGGAGCTGGAGCTTGAGAATGAGCGGCGCGCGCACGAGCGGACGCGTTCTGCTCGCGGGGGGTCCGAGCAGCAGCAGCAACAGCAACAGCAGCAGCAACAACAACAATTACAACAACAATTACAGCAACAACAGCAGCAACAACAAGCAGCCACTGCAAAGTGGAGTGCTGAGAAAGCAGCGTTGGAAGATAAGATCGAGACGCTCACGAAGAAGCTCCTCGCGACCAAGGATCAGCTCCGCAAGGCCCAGATCAATAACAGCAATAACAGCAGTAGCTCCATCCAGCAACCTATCCAGGTCGGGACGAGTATCGTCCCCGTCAAATGGTCGAGGGACCAGCCCTCGACCGATCGATACGCGGCCGCCGCGCGGATCAACCCGGAATTGACGATCGCGACGCCCGGCGCGGTCCGCGCCAAGAACGCGGAGAAGGAGAAGCGCGCCGCCGCCGTGGCGGCGCTGCCCGGCGAGAAATCCGCCTTCTCGATCACCCCGTTCCTGAACCGGACGACCGGTGCTCCGTCGGCTGACGCAGATGATAACGATACCAATGCCGACAACGCCAACAACGACAGCGACCAGGAGTCCTCCTCGCTCGAGGACAGTATAATCCGTGAACCGGATGTCCCCGCTACTACTGCGACAGCTGCTGCTGCACAAAGACCCCGCCAACAATCCGTGAGCTTAGGCAAGGCGCGGCCGGAAAAGACTACCGCTGCTAGTGCGACGATTACAGCTACCGCTGGCAATTCAAGAAGACCGCGGCAGGTGTCGAGGCGGCTGGATCCGATCGATGACGACGACGACGACGATGACATCTTTGGCGCGGGCAATGTCTCGATGCTGGCCAAGCCGCAGGTCCGCAAGCGCAAGCTGGGCGGCCAGCAGAAGAAGCTGATCATCGATGAAGAGGACGACGATATGGACTTCGATTTCCAGAAGGCGGGTACGGCGCGCGGTCGGGGGTTCGGCGGTGTCCCGGCTTTTTCGCCGTTGAAGCGCGATAGGAGGTGAAGATTTCCTTCTGGTTGTGGGTTATGGGTATTAGGCGGCTTTAACGCGATAATTTAATTTGGAAATTGATTGGTTCTAACGTGGTTCATCAGGGTGTCTACGCGGTGTGATCGCCACAGTCTTTCTCTCACATTGGGGACGTCAGATAGGTCTAGTACGCCAAAGGAGCTTGGTAGACTACGATGCCATGCAAGGTCCAACCGGCAAGTATATTCGTGGGTTTATGCCATTCGATTAAGTAGCACCTATACACATATGCAAGATGATTCGGCTTACAGCAGCCATTTATAAGTAGCCTGTTAGATCATCCAATGTTGACCACAAACCAACGAGGGGTGCTCCAAAAGGCAACATTTGTACACCCAAGGCTTATTTCGTGAGTACATATCATCAGTGCACGGCACTCTGGTCACGATACAAGTCACAGGCATGGGGATGCTGCAGACAATACTTGGGCACGAGCGGGCTCGCCTGCACGCCGTTGGCGACGAGGTACTCACGGAAGTTCAGGATGCGCTGGGTCATCAGCGTGGTGCGCTTCTGGCCCTGCTCGTCGCGGTTGCCAGACCAGACGAGCTCGGCCAGGGCCGCGGCGCGGGGCCAGAAGCGGCTGGAGACGGTCACGTCGTCGACCTGCTCGGACCACAGCGGCGCGACCGCGCCGATGATGTGCGCGGCCTGGGCGTCGGTCAGGTTGGTGGTGAAGTCGTAGTCGTAGATGCGCTGCCAGGTCTTGTAGGGGGCGCACCAGCTGCCGCCGTTGCCGCCGTAGTTGAAGTTAGGGGTGTTGGGGTCCGGGTTGCTCATGACGTTGTAGCGGGGGTCGTTGGTGATGAAGCCGCCGAAGCCGCAGTCCAGGTACATGAAGTCCGACGACGAGACGATGACATCGTAGCCCTGCGCCGTCAGCTTGCTGATGTAGTCCAGCCCGTTGTTCCACGACTGCATGACGATGTCGGTGGGGACATCGTGCGCGTGCTCGGTCGAGAGAACGATATCCTCCCACATGACCAGTCGGCGCGAGGTGCTGTAGTTGCGGAAGATTGGGACCGCGTTGTCGATCCAGTGCTGCGCCAGGTCGTTGTAGGTCCGCGAGGGGTCCTCTTGAAACCACTCCGTCACGTACGTGCTGAAGTTGAAGCAGTTGGCTTGGATCTCATCCGCGCCGACGTGGAACCAATTGTCGGGGAAGATATCTGAGAGTTCGTTATAGACGTCCCGCACTACGTCGTATGTGCCGGGGTAGATGATGTCCAGCTGGCCCGGGTTCGGCTCGACCGCCGTGTGCAGAGCCCAGTCATCGTTCGACCACCACGAGTTGATACAGGTCACCATTTCTGGGTCCGCGTTCTTCCATCCGGACGAAGAGTGACTGGGCATGTCAACCTCGGGAATCACCCGAATGGCACGAGCACGGGCATACGCGACCACGCTGCGCATATCTGCATGAGTGAAAATCTCGCGCGGCGAGTACGCATCCTGGATCATCTCGGGATGGGAGTCGATCTGCACGGGCCAGGACTGAGTGTCATCGAGGTGCCAATGCAGGACATTCAGCTTCGAAAGTGCCATTCCGTCCAATTGCTCGTAGATCTTGCCGACGGAGATGAAGTTCCGTCCTGTGTCGATCATGATACCACGGTACGGGTAGAGGGGTTCGTCTTGGATTGAGACACACTGTTCGATGATCAGCCCACCCGAGCCGTCCGAGATTATCAGCTGCTGAAGGGTGGTGAACGCATGGAGCGCTCCCCAGACCGTCGCGGCCTTGATATCAATCGTGCTGCTCCCCTCACTCAATTCGAGTGTGTAGGACTCGTCGACACCATGCTGAAGGTCCGCAGTGATGTCTTTAATATCCACATCGACATATTGCACCGAGGGCGCTGAGACGCGCTTAACCTTTTGGGCGGCCTTGGGAGACGCAGTTGGAAAGGGCTGGAAGCTTGAGATGGGAGCTTCGGTGGCGGCCGGCACCCACTGCAGGTCGACTACAGTTTTCCAGGCGCGATTCCAGGCATTGGCGAGGATATTGTCGTCGGTGTCGTTGGGTGCGCGTAACGTCACAAAACCAGCCAAGTGCTTGGGTCCAGATGATCCCCAAGTGATGTTGCGCGGGGCAGGCAAGGGGTTCACTGAGACAGCGGAGGCCGTAGCCAGTACTAGAAATACTGGCCAGAGGCGACAAACCAACATTGTAGACGGGTTCCCAATTCAAAATCAAACGAGGAGTGGTAGGTTCAAGGATGGCACGGAAGCAAGAGAAGAAAGGAATAAATAAAGAAAGGTAGATCAGAGAAGAAAAAGGCCAGGTGATTGATGGCCAAGGCACCTCCAGGACAGGGGGTGCAGAAGAGGGGGCGGATCAGCATTCCACGATGTTTGCTGCTGCATGTTTAGCTTAGATTCACTTGCGCGAAGTATGATCGAGGGGTTGGTGTGAATGTGGGTGAATCGGTGCTAGACTAGTAGCTGGCAAGGTGGTAAGGTGGTACTGCTACTAGACACTAGTCAATAGAAGGTGAAAGGGTAGTATTTGGGTGGAGACGTGAGACTATCTACAGCCTACGAGTAGACTAGGTAGAGTAGAGGAAAATTGATAGGAGATAAAGTGCGGAGTAACTTTGGAAGGGAAGTAGTACAGCACAACAAACATTGCAAACAAACAAACCAAGCAATTCTCAAGCCTCAGGCCGCTGGTGAATGCCTGATGGGTCTGCGTGCCACGCTTGGAAGACATTCCCGATCGGTTTCATTTCCGCTTCCACAAGCTCTCATCAGCCACTTGATGCCAGGCCACACTACGTTCGTACCTTAGTACTGTGGACTCCAGTCAGAACTTACCATGGTAGGTGGTGCAATCAACTGCTCTGAGTGGGACGCTACAGCAGCTGTCATATTACGAATGACGGCGCCCACTACGTCATTTACCGGCAACCCGGTTTAAAACTATGATGATTTCATACTTCCCCTCTATCCACCGTGTTGTTTATTTACTGCTGCTCGCCTTCACGAAAGAAAAGAAGATACAGTGCTGTTACTACAGTCTCTCTATCCTTGATTCATCCTCCCTACAAAGCCCGTGCGCTTGAATCTCGTGCACCACTGCCAGTGCCGACCTTACAATGTCCCTCAACACAGCGACCGGCGTGGCAACCAGCGGCCTACAGGGCCGACCCCCTAAGTTGACCGGGGACGTCAGGTCTACGGTTCAACAGGGCCACAAGACGGTCAACAAGACTGCCCAGAATACCACCGAATCAGTGCTGCCCGGCCAATTCCCTGGAGACGAAGACGGAGTCAAGTCCGCCCAGCGCGATCAGAACAATGACGGACCCATTCTTTCTCCTATGCGTGACTGGTATCGTCGCTGGGTACCTCGGATGTTCGATAAGATGGAGTCATACCTTATGGGCTGGCTGTCCTGGCTCTTGCCGGGACCGCGACAAGCCCGGCTGTATGACGCCGCATCCAAGCGGCCGGCTAGCACAACTTTCCTCATCTGTCAACTGCTTTGCTGCGGAGTTCCGTTGCTCGTCTTTCTGGCCGGTGTCTTCTTGTTCGCTGCCGTGGCAATTATTCTCTGGTGTGTTCTATCGCTGCTCATCCTCGGTCCCGTCCTCTTGGTGGCTAGCATGATGGGGGTCTCGCTGTGGGGCTGGGGCTGGTTCTTCTACAGTGTCATCAAGTGGGTCGATCAGACCTATCTGGGTGGTATGCTTTCTCGATTCTGGTTGTCGCGAAGCTCGTCTGATGACGACGATGACGAAAATTCAAGCAAGGAGGAAGGGAAAGAGAAGGGTGGTGAGCAAAAGGAAGGGTGAGCAGAGCCAAATTACAGGTACCAAGACTGTGGAAGGGATGCGGGTATGGAGGCATAGTCATTATTGAGCCAGAAGGGTCTAGGGAAATTGAGCCGTTCATGTATAGCCCGGTCGCTATTTATTGAATTCTTGTAATTATTTTTTGACAAATTCACACCTATTCTCTCATAGATTCGTCAAGAGAAAAATGCTTCCCTAAGCTTTGACCAAGTCGCTGTCAGAAGACCCTGCTCATGCAGCTGATGGCTGCAAAATTCATTCCACTTCCACGTCTTATGCGCCTGAAGACTGCTGGTCATCTCCTTCCACTCCTCGGGCTGGGGATAGGGAGACCTGTCAAAGACCAGACGCATAGCCCATCTTGAGGTATCTCCACACTGTCTGTCCCCCGTTCTATCATGCTGAGTAAGGAATGATCCTCGTTCCAATCGTATAGTGAAAACCTTGGGCTCAAAAGCTTTGTCGGTGAGTAAAGCTTCGTTGATGCGACGACCAGGGGGGACATAAGACTCTGCAATTTGTCTCTGGGAGAGCCTAATCTCAATCTCGAATTCGCTAAGAAGACCATCGGTGTTGGTGGAAGCGACCTGCTCGAGAGAAGCTGGGCGTAGGAATTTCCAATCCAACTCTGCCATAATCCACACCTGGGTTTCATAACGACAGATCAACTGGTATCGAATTAGCTTTTTTTCTTTTTGGCTTCAATAAAACGAGGGAAAGGGAGCTTCTCTTACGTGGCCACTGCCGTCCGGATGGAACCTGATCTCATTGCTCTGCATGGGATCCCAGAACCAGGATTGTCCGGTGAGAATTGACAGGACGGATTCGCTTGATTCGCTCATATTGTCTTGACATGTACAATGCTACCGACCTTCGATGGTAGAACAGATGGTCTCAGGAAGAAACGGGGAGGAAGCGGTTTGATATATGTTGATGCCTTTCACGTGGGGGCCATTTACTGTGGCTGTTAAATGTGCCATGCTGGTAAGGCTGACAGACATCGGACCCTGAGGCGCTAACCTTATTGGCATCTTTGGGGCTGAAACTGACACAGCCCCATAGTCTAGACTTCCAAGTGAAGTTGTGCTGTCAATTTCCGACTTTTGTGCAGGCTTGTTGATAAAGGGGAATAAGCTTAAGTAATCTTTGGCCAGGTGAGGCTTTTGCACAGATATATTTATATCTGTTCATGGCCGGGCCGGCTGTGCAGTCTGACTCAACTAGGATAGCAAAGAAGATAGGTCAATTTGATCAACCTTCCTGAACTCTGAGTTCCTCATTACTATATACTGTAACTTTTCGGGCTCATCTATCTACGTGCATTATCTTTACACTTCTGCTTTATCATGGCTATCAAGCCCGGGATAGAGGACGGCGTTATCGGGCCGGGCTCTCCGCACGCCCCGCCGTCATCGGCCCGACACGTGACCGTGAGCCAATGGGACTCCTCGTAGAGTAAATACAGCCGACTGACGACATCCGAAGCTTATCAACAATTCCCCAAAGCGGGATTGTTATTTGAACCCCACGATTGCCCCTCGTTGACTTCCCCTCACTCAGTCTACATTTCCTTTCATTATTCTTTGCTAACCCTATTGTCTTGTCTCGAAGTGATAGCCGGCAAGATGACCGGGTCTGACGACAAGATTACCATTTCCATCGACCGTGGCGGTACCTTCACCGACGTACACGCCGTTGTGCCCGGTCGCCCCGACATTATCCTCAAGCTACTGTCCGTCGACCCTGGCCACTATCAGGATGCACCCACCGAGGGTATTCGCCAGATTTTGGAGCTCGTCACAGGAGAGTCACATCCACGAGGGCAACCTCTGAAGCTCGACCGCATCAAAAGTCTTCGCATGGGAACGACCGTGGCTACCAATGCACTGCTGGAGCGCAAGGGCGCTCGGTCGGTCCTTCTCACCACCAAGGGCTTCCGCGACCTGCTAAGAATCGGGGATCAATCCCGTCCCAATATCTTCGATCTATCCATGGCGAGACCTGGCGTCCTGCCGGAGAGAGTCGTGGAAATCAATGAGCGGGTGGTCCCCTGCCACCCGCTTGCAGACAAAAATTGCTTCTCTGAAGCTCGAGTCGTCGAAGGCACAACTGGGGAACAGTTCAGGGTGGTACAAGAACTTGACATCGACGAAGTGCGGCGGATTCTGCAGGAGTTGAAAGACCAAGGCTACCAGTCATTATCAGTTGCGTTGGTCCACTCATTCGCTTACCCCGAGCATGAGCGCCAGATTGGTGAGGTGGCCGAGAACATGGGCTTTTCCGTGACCTTGTCTTCGAAACTACAGCCAATGATCAAGGTTGTCCCTCGAGGCATGTCTGCCGCGGCGGATGCCTACCTCACCCCTGTCATCAAGACCTACATCGACTCTATCTCGGACAGCTTCGAGGGTGGCCTCGAGAAGCAACACGAATGTCGCTTTGAATTCATGCAGTCAGATGGTGGCCTGGTAGATTTCCGCAGGTTCAGCGGGCTGAAAGCGATTCTATCCGGCCCGGCTGCTGGCGTGGTCGGATTCGCGGCGACCAGCTGGGATCCGAAAGAGAAGACCCCAGTGATAGGATTTGACATGGGTGGCACATCGACAGATGTATCCCGCTACGATGGACATCTTGAGCATGTATTTGGATCCAAGGTTGCTGGCGTACTCATTCAATCTCCGCAGTTAGATATCAATACTGTGGCCGCTGGTGGTGGTTCCATCCTCTCGTGGCGGAATGGTCTCTTCTATGTTGGACCTGAGTCAGCATCAGCCCATCCTGGCCCTGCTTGCTATCGCAAAGGAGGTCCATTGACAGTCACCGACGCCAACTTGTTCCTTGGTCGGCTGTTGCCAGAATACTTCCCTCACATTTTCGGAGAAAATGAGGATCAGCCACTCGACCTTGAGGTCACCACGAAGCTTTTCAAAGAACTCACCCAGAAGATCAACTCCGAGCGGAAGGAGAAGGGTCAAACAGAGTTCACTCCAGAAGAGGTCGCATTGGGATTCCTGAAAGTCGCAGATGAATCAATGGCACGCCCAATCCGCAACCTTACCGAAGCTCGTGGCTTTGAAACTGCTTCTCATCATCTTGCATGTTTCGGTGGTGCAGGAGGTCAGCATGCCTGTACGGTTGCTGCTTCATTGGGAATCTCTCGCATCATCATTCACAAGTTCTCTTCTGTCCTTTCTGCGTACGGCCTGGCACTGGCCGAAGTTGTTAAGGAGTCGCAAGAGCCTCTCTCCACCGAATACTCCACCTCCCGCTCCACTCTCGACAAACGCTTCGATGACTTGATCCAAGCGGCTATGAAGGATATGGAGAGCCAAGGATTCCCAGCCGATCAGGTTCGACACGAACTTTATCTCAACTTGCGCTATGAAGGCTCAGACACAAGTCTCATGATCTTGAAGCCTGAAGATGACTCCGACTTCCTGGAGGAGTTCAGTGCCAGGCATCGCAGGGAGTTTGGCTTCAACTCTGATCGACCAGTCTTGGTTGACGATGTCCGCGTTCGTACGATTGCTTGCTCCAAGGTGCGGGAGGAAGTAAGCCCTCTGGTACAGCTCCGCGAAGCCACAATCAAGGATGTTAGCGGTGACCCAGACACTGTTTCGAAAGCTTATTTCGATGGAAATTCCGAGCGTATAGATACCCCTGTGTACCAGCTCAACAAGCTAGATAAGAACACTCGAGTACACGGCCCAGCAATTATCATTGATGAGACGCAAACAGTTGTGGTTGCGCCCAATGCCGAGGCCAAGATTCTGGATACTTGCATTGTAATTGATCTTCAGGAACTACCGAAAAGCACTGAAGATGAAGCTGCATCCTCTTCTGGAATTGATCCTATCCGCCTCACCATTTTTGGTCACCGCTTCATGTCCATCGCTGAGCAAATGGGTCGCACCCTGCAGAAGACGTCAGTGTCTACTAACATCAAGGAGCGCTTGGACTTCTCTTGTGCCTTATTCTCTCCCGATGGTGGACTGGTAGCCAACGCGCCTCATGTGCCGGTTCACCTTGGCTCCATGCAGTTTGCTGTACGCTACCAACACCAGAAGTGGCTGGGCAAGCTTCAGGATGGCGACGTCCTGGTGGCCAATCACCCCAGCTGCGGTGGAACTCACCTTCCTGATATTACTGTACGTGACCCTTGAGAATATCCCACAAGACAGGACTGAGGACTAACTATCAATTAGGTAATTACCCCGGTATTTGACAGGCCCGGTGGTAGCGAGATCATGTTCTATGTCGCCTCTCGCGGCCATCATGCCGACATCGGTGGTATTCTACCAGGATCCATGCCGCCCAAGTCGACCGAATTGTGGCAGGAAGGTGCTGCCATCGAAGGTGACAAGATCGTCAGCAACGGTGTGTTTGATGAGGAGCGAATGATCGAGCTTCTGGTTCACAAGCCCTCGCAATACCCCGGTTGCTCCGGAGCTCGTTGCATCTCGGATAACCTGTCAGATCTGAAAGCACAGATCGCTGCTAACACTCGCGGTATCTCCTTGATCCAGGCTCTTTTTGCAGAGTATGGAGTTGAGACGGTTCAGAAGTACATGTATGCCATTCAAGCTACGGCTGAGACTGCAGTACGCAATCTGCTGAAGGACCTCCATAAGAAATTCGGCGGTCAGCCATTGGAGGCTGTCGACTACATGGATGACGGGACTCCGATCAAGCTGAAGGTCACTATCAACGGAACCGATGGGTCTGCGGTGTTCGACTTTGAGGGCACCGGTCCCGAGGTCTACGGAGGGTGGAATGCGCCAATTGCCATCACCCACTCGGCCATCATCTACTGTCTTCGATGCATGATCAACGCGGATATGCCTCTGAACCAAGGCTGCCTGGCCCCCATCGACATCCGGGTGCCCTCGCCCAGTATCCTCTCGCCCACGAAAGCGGCAGCCGTGGTCGGGGGCAACGTAGTCACCTCGCAGCGGGTCACCGACGTGGTGCTGAAAGCATTCCGGGCGTGTGCGGCGTCCCAGGGCTGCTGCAACAACCTGACCTTCGGCACCAACTCCAAGAAGGACCCGGACACGGGCGAGACCATCCCGGGCTTCGGGTACTACGAGACCATTGCCGGCGGCAGCGGCGCGGGGCCGACCTGGAACGGCGAGTCTGGCGTCCACGTGCACATGACTAACACGCGCATCACGGACCCGGAGATCCTGGAAAAACGCTACCCCACGCTGTTGCGCCAATTCACGCTCCGCGACGGGTCCGGCGGCCCGGGAAAGCACCCCGGTGGCGACGGTGTCGTCAGAGAGGTCGAGTTCCTGTCTCCAATGGAGGTCTCCATCCTCTCCGAGAGACGCGTCTACCGCCCCTATGGTCTCGAGGGAGGTGAAGAAGCTCAGCCCGGAATGAACCTGTGGGTGACCACGGACCCGGATACCGGTATGGAGAGGAAGGTCAACATTGGGGGGAAGAACACCGTCTCTATGAAGACGCATGACCGCATTGTTATCATGACGGCTGGTGGCGGTGGTTGGGGTGCTGCATCCGCTTGATTTGATGCAGAGTGGGTGAGATGGACAGGGTTGAGGAGGTTATTTAGAGGCATGTGTTTGGTATAATGATGTATATGGCTAGCGAGGCGTTTAAGATTGATACAAGCAACATGAATTGTATATGTGCAAGATAACTATCGTCCAGATCAAGCATAGGTCGGCAGAAGCTCAATTACCATTGTTATGCCGCGAGTTAGACACGTCCTGAGTAAGAGACCACATTCATACCTAGGTACCTACTCGAATCGGCTGAAGAGGGAGGGAATTGAAGCAGTAATATTGTATGGCCCTTACCTAAAGAAATACATGTAAGTGTCATGAGCTCATGAAGACTTGATTTCCAAAGTATTACAGTAAGTTACTGTATCCATGTACTGTACTGTACCTTGGCACCAAGACAGCTGTGAAATTCCGTGCTGTAATGTGCTGAAGTGTAACAAAACACAAATACCACTAAAAGATCAGATTAGACAAAAGCGGATCAGATACGGCCTGGTGAAATGGGCCCCCTGCCAATGAAGGATCTGATTAGATTATCTGTGTGAAAAAAACTCCATCTCCACTAGACTTGTTTCGGGGTTTGGAAACGCAACCCGCCCCACGCCGAAAAATGCCGGTCGAGCGAAGTGCCTCGGTTGAAGTAATTTGTCAGTGTTGCCAAGGATTGTACATACGATACACTGATCACTCGGGAGGGAGTTTAGTGCTGTGTTCTTCAGGTCGCTACCCAGGGACAATGTTGAGACTCGTCTCCCGGCCCCGAAAACTGCCACAGTCCTGCATACCCGACGCGAGACAACCGTGTGTGGAGTCAGTGGAACAAGAGTTTGGATCTGAGGTGGAACCTGTGGCAGAATGTGTCAGCTTCTTTTTCTCTTCCGACTGTACGGACTCCGTACAGAACATCCGGAAATCCCGGGCGTAACCACCAGATCCGCTTGCCGCAGGGCGTACACAGTACTTCGTACCAAGTCTAAACAATGCATTCTTCATACGTAGTGGTATCATTCAACCAAACAAATCTTCCGTCACAATCCCCATCGCCAAAGAGAATGCTCACTTCACAGCTTCGCAGCCCTCCACACCGGCGCCCGCTTCTCCGCAAACGCCTTGACGCCTTCATGGAAATTCTCCCCGGCCATCAACTTCCCATACCACTCCTCCACCAACCGCTCACTGCCCACCTCCACATCCGCCTCCTCCCACCCCAGCCGTAGCCCCTCCAAGGTGACCCGAATACTATCGGGACTGTTGCTCGCGATGACGGTCGCGAGCTCCACCGCCCGGTCCACCAACCCCTCCGGCGTGTCGACGACCTCATTGACCAGCCCCCAGCGCTCCATCTGGGCGGCCGAGAACGGCCGTCCCGTGAGCGCGATCTGGGCGGCGCGCTGGCGGCCGACGACGCGCACCAGCCGCGGCAGCGAGCCCGCGACCGCCGCGATCCCGCGCTGCACCTCGGGCAGCCCGAAGGTCGCGTTGCGGCTGGCTACCACGATGTCGCAGTTGGTGATCATCTCGAACCCGCCCCCGAGGCAGAAGCCGTTGACGGCGGCAATGATGGGCTTCACGCCGCGCCGGCGGGGCAGGCCGGCCAGGCCTGGGGCGGTCATTTTGTTTTCGATGCCGCGGGCGTTGAGGTCATTCCATTCTGTTGGGCGGGAGTGAGGTGTGTTAGTGAGGGGTGGTGGTACAGGGTGATTGATTGGGGTCATTGTGATTAAGAAATGGAAGGCTAGGTAACTAACCCTTGAGGTCGGCTCCGGCGCAGAAGGAACCCCCGGCGCCGGTGATGATGGCCACGCGCAGGGTCGGGTGGGCATCGAACCAGGACCAGAGTTGTTGGATCTCTTTGCTGGTGGCGAGGGTGATGGAGTTGCGCTTTTCGGGGCGGTTGAGCGTTAGGAGGAGGATTTGCGGGGTGGGAAAACTGATGAGGCAGCCTTGCACTGTGGGGTGTTGGGACATGGTTGGTGATGTGAGCAGTTGTAGAGGGGTTGGATGTGTTGAATTGGAGAAGACGGAGTGAGGAGAGAGAGAGGTTGTAATCGTAGCAGTGCGAGATGATCTCAGGAGACGAGCGGAAGTTGTGAGATGAAATGATGTTCGTACGGATATAACCAAGTTAAATAACCAAGCTTGGTTCGGTGTGTACGGGATGGTAAGAATGGGTACTTTTGATACGAACTTGCAGAAGCTCCACTCTAGACTTGGCCTCCGCGGGCCTCGGGTGGATTGAGTTGATGGATTGATTTGGTTGATTAACTCCGGTTAGTTATTTGTAGCTCTCCTCCCTGCATCCTCTTTTCCCTTTCTTTCTCCCTCCTCCATCATTCTTCCCCGCCCTCTCCCTCTCAATCACCTCTCCTCCTCTCCTCTACACCCTCCAAACACATTCCACCATGTCCTCCACCAGGTCATTACCCTGGGTCAAACTCCCCCATCCTTATCTCACCACCTACAAGATCGACGTCGTCTCCGAATCCACCACTCCGCGAGTCCTGCAACTCCGCCTCCATGACAGCCCAGCCGCCGGGCAACCGCTCCCCGAACCCTTCCACCACGACTCCCTCAAATACACCGACCTGAGCTACCATGAATCCGCCAAAGAGATCCCTTTGAACAACAACAGCCCCTGGGCGCGCAGCCAGCGCAGCCCCGGCACGACCTTCACCTGGACCACCGCGGAGCCGCCCACGCTGGCTCAGATCTGGAACCTCATCCACGCCACCTTCCTCACGCACCCGGAGCAAGAGACCGTGCGCCTCGACCTGCAAGGGCCCGGCCACGAGATCGTCCGCGAGGAGTGCATCCGCACCGGGCTGGCCGTGCCCTTTCCCTCGCCGCGCGAGCCCTTCGGCACCGAGAACCAACCCTCCAACCTGCCCACCATCGTCCTCCTCCGGTCCGCCTTCTGGCAAGGCGCCGGCTCCCCCTTGGGCCCGCGGCCCATCTGGGCCGTCGATCAGGGCACCCATGGCCTTCTCCGTCGCGCAGGCAGCCAGTACCCGCCCATGGCCCAGAACTACGAGTTCTCGATGAAGTTCCCCGAGGAGCGCGTGTATGCGCGCCACCCGATCCGGCCCGTCAAGCCCACCCCCGGCTCCCTGGTGTACAGTCGGTACATCCCGCACCTGGACCAGCACTTCTCGCTGATGGCCGTCGACTGGCAGAATGAGGAGCACCTGCAGCTGTTCCACACGTGGCAGAACGATCCCCGGGTCGCCAAGGGGTGGAACGAGACCGGCACGGTCGAGCACCACCGCAACTATCTGCGGAAGTTGCACGAGGACAAGCATGTGTTGTGTCTGTTTGGGCGGTTTGATGAGAAGCCGTTTGCGTATTTCGAGGTTTACTGGGCTAAGGTATTTCTTTGAAACTACCCTCTTTCTCCGGGTTAGTAGTCTTCGTCCATGCTAATTTCTTTTCCTGCATAGGAGGATCACTACGGCGCTCACTACGACGCCGGCGACTACGACCGCGGCCGCCACTCGCTCGTCGGCGACAACAACATCCGCGGCGCCTTCCGCGTCAACGCCTGGTGGTCCAGCGTCATCCACTACATCTTCCTGGACGAGCCGCGCACCCAGTGCGTCGTCGGCGAGCCCAAGGCCTCCGGCGGCACCGTGCTCTCCTACGAGAACGCCCAGGGCCTCACTGTCCAGAAGTACGTCGACCTCGGCCACAAGCGCTCCGTGCATGTCTTCTGCAGCCGCGAGAAGTGGTTCCAGCTGTGCCCGCTGTGGTGGGACGGGCGCGAGCGTCCTCTTGAAAGCTCGGATCGCATGGCTTGGGATGCGAAATTGTAGGTCACGATCAGTGCTTTTTTAAAGATAGGTATATAATGTGATGAAATTGTATGTATGTTATGGTTCAAGTGGATATCTCTCTCTCAATGGCTGTGCTGGATCCGGCATCATGCGATGAAGGAAATTCTGCGGGATGGGCGTTGTAACTTTGCGATTTGTACCTTACAGTAGTGTGGGTCTGGAAAAGCGGGGTCAGTATTGATTGTACTGTACGGCTTGTCTTACTCGAAGAAAACTCAGTACAGTACAAAGTATTTCAGACAGTATATTTACAGTAATCTTTCTGTATCGTACCGTCCCGATCTCACTGAAAACAGAACGCTCTCAGTGCAGTGACATACAAGTACAGTACATAAGTCAATCGAATGTCATCCACCCTGGTCGAAGTATTTCCCTAATCTACTGATCACATTCAAGACCATAGCCCGTACCATCCATTTTCTGGCGTCCTCTGACTGGTCCGGTCTGCGTGCAAGAGTACGTTCAACTCCCATTCGTCGTGTTCTACTGGTGGTGGCTCAGAGCTCTATCTCGTCGAGGCTACTGCATTGACAGCAACAGGTTGCTAGAACGTTAGGGTAGCTGTTCCTTTTTTCCTTGTTATTTTCTGTTTCAGGGCGCAACTCTAGATAATTGATTGCTTAGAGACTGGTGCTGTCAGCTCTGCCCCGAGAGTATCTTTTTTTAGCCATTTCTAAATGTCGAGCTAACCGTTGACGGCTTTTGTCGTGCTATCTAGGACGTATGACAATCTCGGCGTTACAGAGAAGAACTGCATGAGATCAATAGAAAATGCATGGGCAAGTATTTAGGGTACATTGAAACTCAAGGGAGAGTCATACGTGGATAATATTCCTGAACACCGTCGAAAATGCCGCGGTTGTCTGGGAGTCGTGGTGTATTATAGTCCAGGGTAATCTGACTAAACGCAAATGGGTTAGCTATGTGGTCCCGTTAGTAGTGGTCTATAACCAGTCCTTCAAGTTACACAGCCTCTGCAGGTTGTTGTACAGGCACAGGCCTATTGAGGTAGTCAGTAAGGTAGTAGTAGATAGCCGCCGGCTCAGTGTCGCAGTGTCCGATTATGTTATGTTGAAGAAATGCCTTTTATCATATAAACAAATTCCTAAATTCATCATTTTGGAGCCTATCTTGTTTTAGAAATACATGAAGGAATCTCAATTTATTTACTCATCCTCGCCTACCAATCTCAGCGACATCTCGTACAACTTCTTTTCCTTCTCGGGGCTATATGCGTGTGGGAAGTAGCCAGGAGCCCACTGCCCTTCGCTGGCGTCATATGCCTTAGCAATCTGCACATCCTCCAAATACTTTCCACCCGTTCCTTCCAAAGACTTTGCAATAGCTCCCCACACCGAAGTAGCGGCGCCTTGCTCGGGACTCTTGAATTGCGGGCCCAATGTAGGATCGCTGGTAAGGCCACTCTTCTCCTCTTCGGACATAAATTGTAGCAGTCCGGTCTGAATGCCACCCGGTTGAACACTAAAAGCACGTAGGCCTTGTGGAGTATAGCGGCGGTCAATCTCATTCGCTGCCCACAGAAGAGCAGTTTTGCTCTGGCCATATGCCTTCCACTTCTCATACTCGCCTTCCAAATTGATGTTGTCAAACATGACCTCCGAATATCTGTGGGCGATGGAGGAAAGAAGTACCACCCTTGAGTTCACCTGCTGACTTGCGGCAGCCAAAAGTGCCGGACGAAGAAGAAGGAAGAGGAGAAAGTGACCGAAATAGTTGGTACCTATTTGCGTCTCGAAGCCATCCTTGGTGCGCCCCTCTGGGGTCGCCATGACTCCAGCATTGGCGATGTAGACGTTGAGAGTCGTCGTTAATGACAGGAGCTGGGTAGCACAGGCCCGTACGCTCGCTAGAGACTCCAGATCCAAAGCCAGGAGGTGTACGCGGGGAGATTGGACCAGATTACCCAGGGCTTGCTTTGCCTTGTCTAGGTTTCTGGCAGTCAGAAATAAAGTAGCACCGGTGGCGAAAAGCGCCTTGGCAGTTTCGACACCAATGCCCGAGGATGCACCAGTTACGAGGATAGAGTGGTCCGCCAGTTGGCCTTCCAATCCTTCATCGCGAACAACCTGTATAGCTGTTGGGCGAGCATCCCCAGGGCCCTGAGGGTTTTTGTGAACGTCGGCGTAGCGGGTGGTCATGATGCCCAAGCCAGGAAAAATGAGATGCTGAGAATTGAAAGGGAGCGAAAAAACACAGTTTCCGGATGATTTGACCGATCATGTATAAGTACTATACGAGAGAGGCCTTTTTATATGTAAGTAAGGGCCTGCTTTGCGGATGCGGCGAACAGAAAAGTACCTTCTAACTCCGAAATTCCCTCCCCATGTTAGGTCATACAAATTGAGGATCCTCGGAATATGTTCTGCGTTCCGCTATTCTTCTCTTGTAATTAGTTACTTCCAAGTAATCCGCGTTTAATATGCAGATGTCAGCTTTTAGCGCTCGAATTGGTCGCTTGGCTTCCAGTGTGCCGGAGTGCGCCGGAATGACAGAGATGGCGAGGGCCTAGTCCAAATCGAGGTAGCCAGAAACACAAAGAATTCCATGGCCTGTTCCAAGTTGTATTTTGGACATGAACTCAAAAGGTCTAGTTACCATCTACGTACGCCTCTCACAAAATAGCAGGAGTCTGGTGCCTCTTCAGTGACTTCTTTGGTGGGGTGCAGCATATCATCACCAGCTTCAAACCTTACAGTTAGGTTTGCATAGATTAACCCCGTAAAATTGATTATCGATACTGCAGAGTTTAGCACAGGTGTATGCACTACTAGAAATAGTAAAGCTGAGGAACTAGAATCCTTAGGGAAAGTTCTATTGGAAGAGTCATGCTGCTGTTGGCTGCCCACAAGGTTAGACTTACATTCAGATGGACTCTGGATGTCTTAGATTAAATGTGGATACAGAGGCCGCAATCAGCTTAAAACTCTAAACGCGACTTTTGAAGACTTGCCACCTATGAAATCATTTGTGGATGGAGTTAAGGATGCCGAAGTCAGCAATTAGCGTCAACTTGTATCCACTTAGTGCACTCAGTAGAGACTTTATTCTTATCTTCGTTGTTGGCATCATTCTGGCAACTTCGGGGTTTGTTTCAAACCAGAACATACTTTCGTCTCCGAAGCTCGTCAGCAACGTCATTGCATTCATGAAGCAACTATAGCTCATATTCAATCTCATTATGATTATCTCCGGTAGAGACGGTAACCCCTGAATTGCCATCATGATGCTCTCTTTTTAAGTCCTTGATCCTCTAAATCATCTGTCCTTCCGAAACTCAGTATTGGACGTGAGGAAATGACTCTAACTGCCCCCAAGGTTTGGCTGATCACCGGCTGTTCGGCCGGGTTCGGAATTTCTATCGCCCGCACAGTTCTGGCAAAGGGCCATTATGTTATTGCATCCTCCCGCAACCCTTCCAAGTCCCCGGAACTGGTGGACGAAATTACCAGCAAAGGCGGAAAGTGGATTGCGCTTGATGTCACGAGCCCCGAAGAGACAGTGAAGAAGACCATTGAAGAAGCTACTGCAATCCACGGTCGGTTGGATGTTGTTGTAAACAACGCTGGTTATGCTTTAGTTGGTTCGGTTGAAGATTCTAAGTAAGAGAATCATCTATCAAAACCCTCTTTGATAAAAGGTATACGAGTAAAGCTTACATATACTCATCTTTCAGGCTTAGTAATGTGCAGGCTCAGTTTGAGACCAATGTCTTTGGTGTACTGAAAGTTATAAAGGCTGTCCTGCCTTCGATGCGCGCTGCTCAGTCGGGTATTATTGTGAACATTAGTTCAACCGGTGGTTTAAGATCGCTGCCTGCTGTCAGTATGTACGCTGCTACCAAGCACGCGGTTGAAGCAATCAGCGAGTCGCTGTCGCTTGAAGTGCAGTCTTTCGGCATTCGAATCCTTTTGGTCGAGCCCGGACCATTTAGAACCAACTTCTTGGGACGGGGGGCAGTTAAATTTTCGCCAGCTACCGAAGTCTACCGAAATACTGCAGTCGGCAAGGTAATTCAACATCTTCAGGATGAGGACGGAAAACAGCCTGGAGACCCCGCTAAAGCGGCCGAACGAATTTTCGAAGTTGTTACTGGGGAAGGAATGGCCAAAGACAAGAAACAATATCTTAGACTTGTTCTTGGGAGGAAAGCCTTTGACTCGGCTCAAGGAAAGATCGACATGCTCCAAGAGAACTTGACAGCATTGGAGGATATCACAAAGAGTGCAGACTTTGATTCTTAGTGGATTCTACCGTGAAACCATGTGGATGTAAAACATTTTACAGTCAGGGGTTCCGGCTATCTCTGTTTGTTGATTTACATTGCATCCATCTCAGGCAGAACGACTTTTTATTCCTTTTGCCACAATATAGGTCTATTATAATATGCAGGAGCTCCATGAATCTGCCTCTGTGCAGGGCTGAGTATCTTTAAGGACCACTGTTTTCTGATCCATAGACCCACCTTTGTAGCCTTAGTTATCACCGCAGAGCTCACATCAGCTCCACGGAATTATCAACACCAACAACCAGATGCACAGTCACTACACAATAGCCTTGGAGAGCTGAGAGACATTACTGTCAACCAAGCCATATGCAGATATAACACACCGCCATAAACATTTTTATAGAAAACCAGGGCAGTAGAAAAGATAGCCTTACTGTTACAGGACGGATGGATTGTGCTAATCGAAACGTGCCTCAGAACGAGAAGAAATAGCTGGAAGGCTATTTCTCCTATTTGTACGAAATTCTTTAACGTGTGCTAGGCTAGCGCTAGTTCTAGTACTTAGTATGCAAGGCCTTAGGCGCCAACTGCTGCCTGAAGCTGAGCTCTATACTAGGGCCTTGGTTCCATAACAGTTTTATAGTTAAAGCTTAGTATATTTATTACTCTACTATAAGGTATACAGGCCCGCGGATATTATTTTTAGCTATACTTAATATCTAGTATCGAAGAACTTTCTCTAAATAGCTAGATATATCCAGGTAATATAAAATACACTATACTTTTCTGTAATTTTGGTCTTTTTGATAAACAAGTGATTATAGACTTGTAGATATAGATTCAAAAAGAATATAGATATTATTCTGTAGTATATTATAATGTAGGACAGCTAAGTAGTCTTGTTAGTGGAATGTAGAATTAAAAAATAGCTATTTTATGTCGAATACAGAGGTGGCCAGCCCGCTTGTGGATTACCCGGTTATGCTTACTAACCGACTTCCTTTGCGTCTATTTATCTCAAATTTATCTCCCTGCTATCTTGACACGTGCTGAAGTACCCTTCCCCGTTTGCTAAGAGACGCACCGCTCGGCCTGGTCCAACACTGCGTGATACTTGACAGTTCCAGTCTTTCTTCCGACAAGGGTCCTAAAGCCCAGCGGCATGGAGCAACGCACAACTCTTCCAAACAGAAAGCGCGGTGGTGCGCGGAGAAAGGCCTGCAATGAGTGCAAACAGCACAAAGTCAGTATTGTCTAACGAGGTTACGATGCCCAGAACACAGGGCTTGAACTTCGCTAACCAGTGGGTCTTTGATAATGCGTAGATTAGATGCGACAGCGCCAGACCATCTACAGAGCCTTGTTCACGTTGTCGACGACTACAAATTGAGTGCAAGATTGAACCATCCTTTCGACGTACCATGAGAAGGAAGTAAGTTTTAACAATCTCTTGGTTCGCCGGTAAATGTTGATCACGATAGACGGAATGCGGAGATGGAGAGCGAGATTGCCGGACTCCGCCAACGCCTGGCTACTGGCGTTGCCGATGCGGGCTCTCAGTATTCAGAGGAAGGAAATTTGGGTACAGCATCTGGTTTGGAAGTTGCATTGTCTAGTCAATCTAGTAACCCCGAAAATACCGGACTATACGGATGGACGCCGTTGGCCTCTTTGAGCGAGAGACCATCTAGAGCGTCAGAAGCAGACTTCTGGAAACTTGAAGACGTTTCGCTTTCTCAGAGGCAAGTAGCAGAGTTGTTTGAGCAGTCAGTATGCCGATCATTGGTAATAGAGGGATTCGATCTTTTAACAGCCTCGCAGGTACTTCAGGCATTACCATATTTTTCTACCACTACTAGACCCTCAAAGATCACCCTTGGACTATCTTCGGTCCTGCCCATTGCAAGCATGGACCGTCATTTGTATCGCCAGTCGACGGGATGCATCAAATCCCAATTTCCTCAACCAACTCTTAGGCCCATTCACACGACTTATGTGGGCCACAGTGAACAGTATACCGCAGGACTATAATGTGATCAAAGCTCTTTGCCTGCTATGTACCTGGCCACTCCCCACAACCACTCAAAAGGCAGATCCCACGTTTGTACTCAGTGGAATCATGATGCAGCTATCGATGCAATCAGGATTGCACCGGCCAGTACGGGCGGAGGAGTTCACCACGCTGCATATAAGCCACGGCGAAGCTGTTAGGGACCGCCTACAGACTTGGCTTGTCTGTAATATAGTAGCTCAGAAGTGAGTACGTAAGTAATCAGGTTACCGCAAGCTGACCACAATTGTTAGTGTCTCTACCGGATATGGACAGCCTTCAGGGACAGTGTACGACTGGGCTCTTGGGCCATCCTCACTGCAGGATGCTGAATACTTCCCTTCAGAAGACCTTCTTGTGCGCTTTCGCATAGAGAAGTTCTGTGATCACGTTACAAGGACTGTCTATAACACCAGGCCAGAGGCCGCAGATTTTATCAGTACGGAAAAACTCATGATTGTGCAGCTCCTGGAGAACGAACTCGAGAATATGGAAACTGAGCTAGGAAGGAACATATCCCGTTTGGAAACCTACGTCACCTTGGCTCTTGCCACAGTTAACCATCAACCAGGTATAAATAAAACCTACCTGCGCGGCGCAGAGTTGCACCTCCGATGTTTCGTGTTTTTGGGCACAAATGCACGAAAGGAAGGCTTCACAAAGCTATTCGTCGCGGCCACAGCATTCCTCTCCCAAGTCCTGGAACTAGAAACATCAGGCCAAATTGGTCATGCGACAAATTATATTCTGCAGATGACTGTCTCTGCGGCCTTTGCACTGCTGAAGATTTTGAAAAGCCGCATTCGACACCAGATCGATTTCGAATACGGCAAGTTACTTTTCAACGGAGCGATTTCGGCGCTGCGACGGACTAGTGTGATGAGACGGGATCGCCCAGATCGCCTCGCAGATGTGTTGGCGCAGATGTGGAATGCCACCGACACTGCATCGTGGCCGTTTGACGAAGAAGAGACGCCGCAGCTTAAAATCCGCTGTCGGATGAGCATGAGTCATGTGTTCGATACCGTTTGGCGCTGGCGCCACCAGTTTCGGGCGGGTATGAATGCTAATGGGGTTCAATGTACTTGTCTCTAAACCCTTTCTCTTCTTTTCGAATAAGACGTGGGACTAAATTACATTTTCTCTTCCTATAGGTGCTACTGCAGCTAAACCGAACGAAGAGGGTGGCACGAGGGGCGGACAGTCTGATGGACCGCTGATGGATTCTTTATTCATGTGTCCGCCACAAGTCAACGAGGGAACCGCAATGCCTACTGACGGTGACTTCTCTGAGATATTTGATTCTCTTGTTTTGGTTTTTGATGACGTTCCTGATGCGATGGTTAACCCACCGCTGCTTTGAGTTCTTGAATAGCCATTTCCTTCTTGATTGCAGATGCGCGAAAATTGCCTGTGAAGTGACGAATTGGTGGCGAGATTCGTGAAGTACAAACGTGGCACTGGAACAAGGCGACGAAAATATAGATGGTCGAAATGTGAGTGAAAAAGACCACATTTTTTGGGGGCATTACTGTACAAACGCGGTTCCGATTTGGCCACATATTTTGTAGTATCAGCCCTGAGAGAGCAGCAGCTTTAAGGACAGCCTGCCAAAAGCAGCCACAGAAAACTGGACCTCCGGAGTTCCATCGCGGCGTTTCGGACCGGGACTGATGCTCAATGCCGACTTTCGGAGATGAGTTCTGCCCTCGCCGGTGAACTTCGACAACCAGGATCCACCCGCTCGCTCTCGGAACAGAGAATCGGAGTCCCTCTTCGGCGGCGCAAATGCGCAATTGGGACTATCTAGTACAGTCATCGAAAAATGTTGTGCCGACAATATGGGCCTCGATTGCTCTTTAAAGTCACGCCACCTTCCAGCTCTCGGGACGTTGATGGTTGACCTTACGCCGTAATCTATACCAGCATTCTTCAATCATCCTTGCGCGATTCCTGCCCAGCTTCAACATCATGTCTACCACTCATCAGTACGACCCGGAAATCAGGGACATCGCGAGCTATGTCGCCAACCACGAAATTAGTTCGAACTTGGCTGTACGTGACAACGCTTCTAACACACCAGCACCCCTTTTGCAGAGCCTTGGGCTAACGGACTATAGTTTGATACCGCGCGCCTTGTCCTCCTCGACACCCTGGGCTGCGGCCTCGAAGCATTAAAGTTCAAAGAGTGCACGAAGCTACTCGGTCCCACTGTCCCCGGCACCATCGTACCGTTCGGATGCAGGATTCCCGGAACGCAGCTAGAACTGGACCCGGTCAACGCGGCATTCAACATCGGCGCCATGATCCGCTGGCTGGATTTTAACGACTGCTGGCTAGCAGCCGAATGGGGCCACCCGTCTGATAACCTCGGCGCTATCCTTGCAGTTGCCGACTGGGTGACCCGGACCAACCGTGCGGGCGGAAACATTGCCGGGGGGGCTATATATACTGTAAGAGATATCCTGGAGAGCATGATCAAAACCCATGAGATCCAAGGCTGCTTGGCCTTGCTCAATTCCTACAATGGTGTGGGATTGGATCATGTTGTCCTCGTGAAAGTCGCGAGTGCCGCGGTGGTATCGAAATTACTTGGGCTGGGCGAGCAACAGATTGCAGATGCGGTGAGCCAGGCCTGGGTGGATGGTCAAAGTCTGCGAACCTATCGCCATGCTCCGAACACCATGTCACGCAAGTCGTGGGCTGCCGGAGACGCATGCCAGCGGGCCGTGAGCCTGGCTCTGAAGACTCTCAAAGGCGAGCCGGGAATCCCTACTGTGCTCTCTACCCCTACATGGGGCTTCTATGAAGTTATGTTCAAGGGGTCTAAGTTCGAATTTCAACGCCCGTATGGGAGCTATGTCATGGAAAACGTGCTGTTCAAGGTTTCATACCCGGGTACGTATCACTAAATGCCCGCTCGAAATCTAGGCCTTGCCCGCTAATAAGAGACATGTTGCTTCCACAGCGGAGTTCCACTCGCAGACAGCAGTCGAAGCCTGCGAAACGATCCACGAAAAACTAGCGACAATGAACAAATCCGCCGCGGACATCAAAGCCATCACCTGCCGCACACACGAAGCCTGCATCCGCATCATCGACAAACAATTCAAACCCATGAACAATTTTGCCGACCGTGATCACTGCATTCAGTACATGTGCGCGGTGATGCTCGTCTTCGGTCGCCTTGAGGCAACAGATTACCTCGACGGAAGCGTCGCGGCGTCTTCGGAACTCGTAAACTCGCTACGGCAAAAGATTACTTGTGTCGAGGACCCGCAGTACACCAGGGACTACCATGACCCGGCCCAACGCACGATATCAAACGCTCTGACGGTGGAACTGAATGATGGTACCGTGCTTGAGGAGGTTGCGGTGGAAACTCCGCTGGGCCATCGCCTTCGTCGGGAGGAGGCAAAGCCGGCTATCCTTGCTAAGTTCAAGCGACACCTTGCTGACCACTTTTCGGAGGAGCGGGTTAGTGAGCTGCTGCAGTTGGGGCTGGAGCGAGAGGAAATGGAATCCATGGCGGTGGACCACTATCTGGATTTGTATACTGTTGACAGCAAGTTCTTGTAGTCGCCAGGTTGCATATAACAAATAGCAATGACACATGAAAGTATACAATGGAGATTGAAGTGACTGTACTCTTTGCTGGGCGCGCATCTATAGCTCTGGAAACGATACTGCGTTTGGCAGGAGCCGGATACTCAGAGTCCTCAAGGCGCTACCGAACGGCACGCTTCTGACTGCCTTTCATGCTCCAAGACGCATATACGCTACAAAGATGCATATAGACCAGCCGAGAGTAGCATGTGCAAGAAAAAAGATTCGCAGACAGGCAAGCCCCTGTCCCCAGTAAAAGACAATGCGCGGCTACGATGGAAAGCGCTATGCAAGCGAAAGATTCATAGCCATCGCATTGCTATACAGTCTAAGCTTTCTCAAACAGCGATACAATACTCTCATACGTTGTGAACACTATGCCACCACTGAGAATCAACCGCCCAAGTCTCATCGAACTTCCCCTCCAAAATCCCGGAAGCCCTCCATCTCTCAATATTGCCCGCGTCGCCTCCAATGTAGTTGACCCCTGGGCAGCCTGGGCCCGGGTTTTAATTGTGTCAAAGGGCTGGGTAGCGTATACAGTAATGACACCGGCTCCTGCTCCAAGACCAAAAGTGACAATGGGACCGTGTGTGCCCGGGGCATCGCGAGTGCTGCTTGGTATCAATCCTTTAAGAAAATTATAAGTGCCCATCCGTACCGCAGATGTAGCAGCTTGCTTGAGTGTGGTGGAAACAAGCCCACGGTAGAGACCTGCAACTCCGGTTTCTGAAACGACCGTGCTCAGCGCGTGCATGCCGCTCTTGAAGCGTTTGAGAGACCTTGCGTCGTCGATGCTAAAGGTATGAATTAGAAAGGGGGTCCCACCGGACCGCAGTCGAAGGATGGAATGAGAAAACTCACAGGGCCGTCTTGATACGTTCAGTAGGAGTTACCGCCACAACGCTTTCAACCGTCCCCGCCACCACCCCAGCAAGTATGCCTTGTACTGGAGATAGCCTGCCATTCGAATCGGACAGTAGGCCCTTAATGGAATCGAAAGATAGAAAGCGGACGCCGGCCTTGAATGCAGTACCCTTGAGCAGGACCGTGGTCAGATCTTAGATGCCAATATTTGTTTGAGGCGGTTTCATTCACCAGCACCAGGGTTGAGCAGCCCTTGTATACAGATTGGAAACCAGTCTCTCGGATCGTTTGCCTCATGATGGTCAATGGATTTCTGGGTGTGGAAACTTGAGTGGTACCGGTGACACCAAGCTGGGAGCGCGTTTTGGCGAATTCAAAAGGGTACTATTGCGGTCAGGGCCTGGACCTTGGAGTGGAACGGCCTTGGCACAAACCGTAATACTGGCTTCTACAGCACCGGCAAAGGCGCCTGCGAGGAGAGATACCTCAGGCCTCACCTCGCGCTTCCTGGGGGCTGCAGGCTGTTGTGTTTCTGAACTTGGAACGGCCGAGACGCGCAGCACCTTTGACTCTGTGACAGTCGTCATGATGATATGTAGAACAACTGAGAGACAAGCCTAGCTTCAGTCTGGACTTGGCAGTAAGTTTACTGAAAGAATTTTTATACCCACCGGGGCTTGATATGGTGTCCATTCCCAGATCTCAGGTCACTATCTTCTTCATCGAGACTAGTCACTCGGAGCTGGTGCCATTGGCCGAGAATCGGGGCGTGGTCAGCAATGTTGTTCAACACAATTGTCATGTAAGGTGCAACCAGTGCCTCAAATCATCCACAGGTACAGTGCATTGTGCAGCAACCTTTCGCTATTTAGGGTGCATGTCCGAAGTTCGGAAAGGTGGAATTATGAGGGGCCGCGATCTATCGGAGATAGCATGATGTCGGATATGGGACGTGTCATCTGTTGGCCAGACGTACATGCCCCAACGGAAATTAAAATCTCGGTACCACAGAAGCTCTCATCTCCTGGGCCGTATATCGCAAATGAAACCAAAGACCGATCTCACGCGGGAGCCCCAGCAGCTGGACCAGCTATTTATGTGAACAGTTGGCCAAAACTTTCCTTTCTAGTAGTAGTAGTGAATCAGGCCCACAGCTGAAGGCTAGTCAGAGCCCCGCGCAAGTGGCAAACTGCCATGAATCCATTATCTTTGAGGTTTCGTGCGTAATAGCCACTCCGAAGCTGCTCCGGCCCGTTGCTCTCGCTACCCCAGACTCCAATCCCCGCACTCCTGTTGGACTGACGGCCAACTGTTCACATAAATAGCTGGTCCATCTCTTGGAGCTCTAGGTACTCGTCCGCCATCCGAAATCTTGCATACCCAGCTGGAGTCTTACGATAGCTGGATCCCACAATGGCAGGATCCAAAAAGCCCATCAACATTTTCCAATTGGGAACCAACGATGACCCCAAAGAAATCTTCAACTGGCACCTCTGGTTCTCTGTAATCTCCTTTGGCTTGATGGGCACGGCGCGAGGTATCGACGAGGGCCTCATCACCGGTACCTTCAACTCGGCTGATTTCCAACGAACCATAAACTTCCAGTCCTACAGCACAGTGGAACAAGCTAATATTCGAGGAAACGTATCCTCCATGGTGCAGATTGGATCTGTCGGGGGTGCTCTATTGTAAGCTACAGCGACAGCATTACCGCACTGTCCATGCACAAGTATCCTAATATGTTTGATAGTGCGTTCTTGGTATGTGACCGGGTTGGTCGCTTGTGGGCAACACGCCAACTCTGTGTTCTTTGGATGCTAGGTATAGCCATATTTATGGCTGCGGATGGCAGTTTAGGCGCGATCTACGCTGGAAGGTTTGTTGCTGGCCTGGGGGTCGGACAGACAGTGGTAGTTGGGCCGTTATACCTAGCTGAAATCGTGAGACATCCTTACGAATATCCTTAGTCTCGTTCTGACATCTCTAGGCCCCAGCGAGTGTTCGAGGTCTCTGTACCTGCATCTTCACCGGATTCGTGTATATTGGCGTTTTGCTGGCTTATTTCACAAACTATGGATGCGAGGTTCATCTTGGTGATAATACGCATAACCGATGGGTTCGTCCACGCTCCATGCCCCCATGCCCCCCCTCCCCTAGGTACACTCTACATACTAACAACTTAGATTCAGCTCGTGCCAACCAGTTTACATATTATGTTCGCCGGAATCATACTTATACTGTCCTTCTTTCAGTACGAGTCGCCCCGTTACTTAGTGAAGCAGTCAAAGGATGAACAAGGCCTGCAGACCCTAGCTCAGCTCCGCAAACTATCCCCCGATCATCCTTACGTGGTTCGCGAGTTCGGAGCAATTCAAACAGCATATCAAATAGAAGTACAAGGAACCCAGGGGATTGGATGGAAGGAAATCGTCAAGGAGGCCTTCTCGAGCAGTAATATTCTCTACCGCCTACATATTGTATCCTTAGCCCAGATCCTCGCACAGTGGTCTGGGGCCGGATCTATCACAATTTATGCACCCGACCTGTTTGAACTGCTCGGGATCACGGGAACGAACGAGTCACTCCTCATCACGGCAGTGTTTGGGGTCGTGAAATTCATAGCGGCCATCATCTGCGCTTTATTTCTGGTCGACTATATTGGTCGGAAACGCTCGCTGCTGCTCGGAATCAGCCTCCAGGCGTTCGCCATGATCTACATCGCGGCGTTCCTCACCGCCGTGCCAGAACTGGGGGTGGTCGACGGCTTCAAGCTTCCAAACTCTAAGCGCAGCGCGAGTCGCGGGGCAGTTGCCATGATCTACATCTCAGGGTTTGGATGGGCGCTCGGGTGGAATTCGATACAGTATCTTCTTACTGCGGAGCTGTTTCCCTTGCGCATCCGTGCACTAGCAACCTCTATTACCATGACTCTACATTTTGTCAATCAGTATGGCAACTCGCGGGCGGTTCCAGACATGCTGCTCCCTGTTTCCGCAGGGGGGGTCAGTCCAAAGGGCACGTTCTGGTTGTTTGCGGCCGTCACGATTCTTGGCGGACTGTGGGTGTGGTTTAGTGTGCCGGAGACCGCAGGCCGGACATTGGAAAGCATGGACAGGCTATTCGAGCTTCCTTGGTATCGAATCGGTCTATATGGCAATGCGGATGCTGTGCGGCGAGATGTGACCGCCTCGGACCAGGCGGAGGGTGAAAATAATGTTAACGGTCCCAAGGATTCGCAGCCGTCTGCTCGAGAGATTGAGCGGGTCTGATGCCTGAACAGGGCAAAGAAGATTGGCTGTAGGGCTATGATAACCTGCCGTGGGGATCTGGGGGTTGAGTTTACATTAGGATTTGCTCACATAGTTCAACCTTGAGAGATATCCTCCTTCAGGAAGCACTTCACGTGGGTGGTTGCCGCGCGGGGCGGGGAAGAGATGAAATGGGCGTAACTCATTATTTATGCTTCACTTGATTCTTATTTCATTATGTTCATATCAGGCAAATATATGAGATCGAGAACGACCATGAGAGTATTATTTCTCCGCCCTATTTCGAGTGTGTAGACACTTGAACGGCTAGAGCATCAGTTCACCGCTGAGACGGCTGCTTTCCAGTACCGAGCTCGACGAAAAGATCCTGTGCACCAGCAGTGTTTGTCGGCTGGCAAGAGGCGACAGCAAGCCACGCTGCGTCCACACGAACTCGGTACATACATCCGGAGCCAACGCGGCACATTGAAGGAAACAGTAAAAAACTTGTATTAGCCTTTTATTACCTAGAGGAGCCGTATACGAATGGCTCAGCCTTACGTGTAAGAACCCCCGAGCACAGGCAAATCCCGCCGAGGCTGGAATTTGACAGTCTAGGTTGTACATATTGAAGTGCTTGAAGGAAGGTCAAAGGGAGCGTCCAGTTCGAGATCATGAAAAATTCCGTGGGCCAAGGAAAAACTTTTCTTCAGGATCGCGTAATCAATCTACAATGTTTCTTTTCTCAAGTCGTTCTTAGCTTGATTCAAAAGCCTGCAGGAATTGTCAGTGACATGGTCTTCAACCACAGTACTGAAAGGCAGGTGCGACTGACCCGTTTCTGTATTTCCTTGGCCCATACT